CCAAAGTATGAGAACTAATGATGTAAACATAAAGCCTGAACTTTTTTTTTTTTTCCTGTAGAGATGAGGTCTTGCTATGTTGGCCAGGCTGGTCTCAAAACTCCTGGGCTCAAGCGATCCTCTCGCCTTGACCTCCCAAAGTGCTGGGATTACAGGCATCAGCCACTGCGCCTCTGTAGGGTCCAGCCCTACAGAGTTCTGTGAGCCCCTCCCGGCTGGTGCAGAGACGAGATATTGTAGAAATAAAAGGCACAAGACACACAGAAAAGAGAATTTGGGCCTAGAGGTGCACTGCTACCCAAATTGCAGGAGACCAGCAGTGGCCCCGAGTGCCGGAGGCTCTCACTTTTATTGAGTTGCATATCTGGGGGCAGGGTGGGTAGGGCATGGTCTTGGTCCAAGACTGGGGGCAGGGCAGACAGGGCGTGGCAGTGATAGTGTCAAGTACGTCACGTGTCATTCAGGTTGGGGCTCGGCTATTTCTGGCACCCGAAGTGAGGTAAGGAGCATAATGTATCAGTACTTTTTCTAAACTTATCAAGAAAGAACTACAACATTCAGATTTATATTACTATTACTGATTATCTTTTCTAAGAAAAAAGGAACCAGGTGCAGAAGCAGAACATGAGAGTGGACATGGAACGTGAGTCCTGAAGCACAGCATCACGTAGAGAAATAAGCCCATGATGTCTGTGGGCCTCTCTGACAGCCGTCAGGCCTCACCGCAAGAGCTTGGAGAAGCGGAGTTTTCTCCTAACTCCTCCGGGGAAGGAGACGTCTCAGCTATTTTGGACATCTCCTTCCCTAGCTGGCTAAACAGCGGGCACTTTCACAGTGCTGCCGCACAGCCAAGGTGCCCTCCAGCAGCCCTTACACGGGCGTGACGGAGGGCTTAGAGCATCCTGCCTTAGTGTCATTCACTTCACAATGTTACCCCAGGTTCACCTTCCGACCTGAGAGGCATTAGTAAAAGAATTAAGACCACATATGAATAACTAATAACTACTACGCTTGTATTTCTAGTTACTTTCTTCTTTATTATTTATATGAAAATAGGCGGAGACTTTTTCCTCCTGCCTCGGTGCTTATGGGATCTTCCCCCTACATGCCTGGCCCATTTGTTTTTTTCAGTGATG